TGTACAGGGTTTCGGAGGAGCAGCTGGTGAGTTTGAACCACCAACCTTGCAGTTCAAACCGACCTTGTGGACCAGTACTTTCTCCCATAGTGCCCCACCAGGGGTCCTGGTATACAGGTCCCATTTTTCTCCCATCTTCAAGGCTGGGGTCTGTGATGTCCATGGGTGGTCAGCTCACCTGGAGAGAGGTCAGGTCTCTCAATGCCCCATCAGGAATGCTGGGGATGTCATTCCCGTGAATCATGAGAAGTTCCAACTTAGCCATCCCTGAGAAAGAGGTGTCCGATATGGCCTGAATGCTGTTAAACCTAAAAAGAGAGAGACCGTGAATCAGACTCGAACCGCTGTTGTGGGTGGGTCATCCCGGTGATTCTCACACATAGTGACCTCCATCGGACAACGTACAACCACCCAGAGCATCTCCCATGGTACAATGTACAACCACCCATAGTGTCTCCCATCAGACAATGTACAGCCACCCAGAGCATCTCCCATGGGACAATGTACAACCGCTCAGAGCGTCTCCCATTGGACAACATACAACTGCCCAGAGCGTCTCCCACTGGACAACGTACAACCACCCAGAGCATCTCCCATTGGAGAATGTACGACCACCCATAGCATCTCCCATCAGACAACGTACAACCACCCAGAGCGTCTCCCATCGGAGAACGTACAACCACCCAGAACGTCTCCCATTGGAGAATGTACAACCACCCATAGCATCTCCCATCGGACAACGTACAACCACCCAGAGTGTCTCCCATCGGAGAACGTACAACCACCCAGAGCGTCTCCCATTGGAGAATGTACAACCACCCAGAGCGTCTCCCAGGCACTCATCTTTATGGGCTCAGATTGCCAGCTCTTTCTTCCACAGAGCCGCTTGTCGGCTCAAGCATTTAGGTGAGTATGCAAATCCCAAACTCACTGTCATCGAGTTGATTCTGAATCACAGCGTTTTCAAGACGGTAAGTCTTTATGAGGGCAGATGACATCATCATTCTCCCTCAGAAAGGCTGGTGGGTTTGAACTGCCGACCTTGCAATCCAAGTAGTGATTGCATGCCAACTGTTAGCATCACCTAGAGACCCTTATTAAGTCATTGTTGTTGTTGGTAAGTCCTGTCAAGTCAGTTTCAACTCACAGCGATCCGGTATAGGGTTTCCAAGGAGCAGCTCGTGAGCTTGGACCCCTGACTTCCCTGTTCAAACCAATCTTGCAGTCCAGCGCATTAACCCACAGTGCCACACCAGGACTCCTAGCACTGACTACCTTGTTGTTGTTGTTAAGCACCGTGCAGTCAATTCTGAACCAAAGCTACCCAGCACAGGGTTTCCAAGGAACAGCTGGTGAGCTTGAACCACCGACCCTGCAGTTGAAATAAGTTTATAGTCTGATGCATTTACCCACAGCGCCACACCAGGAGTCGTAGCACTGCCTGTTGTTGTTGTTAAGTGTCTTAGAGTCGGTTCCAACTCATAGCGAGCCTGTACAGGGTTTCCAAGGCTGCAAATCTTTATGGGAGCAGAACGCCTCATCTTTCTCCCGCGGAACAGCTGGTAGTTTCGAACTGCTGACCTTAAGGTTCGCAGCCCAATTCGTAACCACTACGCTACCAGAGCACTACCTAGAGACCTTTTATTAAGTCATTGTTGTTAAGTGCCATCAAGTCAGTTCCAACTCACAGCTACCCTGTGTAGGGTTTCCAAGAAGCGGCTTGTGAGTTTGAACCGCCAACCTTGCCATTTAAACCATATGTCTGGGAAATTCTACATTTGCTTAAAACCTGCCAGAAAGAACCACTCACCTTCATCTATGAGAGGCCTTTGAAAAGCTTGTGGAAAAATGTCCTTGTCTTTTAATACCATTTTTCCAAGAATTTTTGAAGCCCTTTGGTACATATGTGGTCCCCAAAGGCATTTCAGTGATGGTATATATAACCATTAAGGTTTTGTGTCAACGTGGTTGGACCAGGATCCTCAGTAGATTCTTGGTAAAGCTGTCATTAAGGTATGATCAACCCTAGGATGTGATCAGAGAGGATCAACTGTAAACCCTCACTTCTAGGATGTGCATGAGGCCGGATGCAATCCACAGGATGATGCCATATCTGGAGCTAATCTCTTTAGAGATATAAATGAGATTAAACAAGCCAGCAGAGCTCAGAAGAATTGGCTACCCCTCAAGAAAGAAGAGCCGGAAGTTGAGTGTGTCCTTTGCACCTGGGATCGTTGCATGCAAAGCTCTTAGATACAGAGGGAGCTTGATTCCAAGACACATGGAGATCTCCCAGGAATGCTGGACCTGCAGATGCTGAAAGGAACCAGGACTTTCTCCAGAGCTGACAGACAAGACAGAAAGCCTTCTCCCAGAGTAGGGGCTCTGAATAAGGAATTCTAGCCTCCAGTCCTGGTCTGGCGCTGTGGGATAATGCACTGGACCACAAGATCGGTTTGAACTGCAAGGTCTGTGGTTCAAATCACCAGCTTCTCCTCGGAAACCCTATATTGGAGTCCTGATGTGGTGCTGAGGATTCGTACACTAGACTGCAAAGTTGGTTTGAACCACAAGGTCAGCGGTTCAAGCTCACCAGCTGCTCGTTGGAAACCCTATACAGGGTTGCTGAGTCAGAACCAACTCGACGGCACTTAACAACAACAATAAACAGGTGTGGTTCTGTAGGATAAGCACTGGACTGTGAACCTGCTAGTCACAAGGCTGACAATTCAAACCCACCATTCACTCCTTGGAAACACTATATGATGTTTCAAAGAGTCAGAACTGACTCAAGAGCACTTAGCAACAACATTTCTGCAAGAGAATAAGTTTCTGTTTGCTAAACCCACTCCCTTTTGGTATTTCTGTGATCCCAACACTAGAGAACTAAAAGCGCATACATGGTGTGTGTGGGCGACTCTATGTGACCAGCAGAAATGCCCATAGGGTTTCCTTGGCTGCAGTCTCTAAGAAGATGATCACCAGGTCTTTCTTCCACGGATTCAAACCACCGAGCTCTCAGTGAGCAGTCGAACACATAAGCACCATACCACCAGGACTCCTTATACTGAGAATGGTACATGGGACCCTCAGAGTGAATCCCAGAGAAGCAACTCTGTAATAAATGGAGAACCCTGCACTTGTGTTTGCACAATGCAGATACTTCACCTAGGAGATTTCACAAATCTGTCATTGGGGGAAAAGCTGTGTATCCCCGACATTGGCATCAGACCTCATTGTGGGGAGGCGAAGGGTTCTTCTTAGCCGGCCTCGGTCTGCAAGCACTACTGAAGGTTATTCATCATCACAGTGACACAAACTCTATAGTGACAGATGTGTGCTGGTTGTCCACGAGGTACAATGGTGGGAATCAAACCCAAGCCTCCTGACTGCAAGGTGAAGGATGTATCACGGAGGCACCAAAGTCTTGGAGAATCAATCAAAGGAGGAATTTTCTTGTCTCCAGGACACTATGACTCACATCGGGGCACCATGAGTGGGATCTACTTATGAAAAATCACCCACTGAGAACCCTGTGG